GGGGGGGGGGGGGCCCCCCCCCCCCCCCCCCCGAGCTGCCCAGGCCTCTGAGGGTGGGAGCAGAAACAAAAGCTTAAGGCTGAGGCTGTTGCTATGCCCTGGAATGCAACAACTAGGAAAATCACATTAATCAAGGAAACAAAAATCCCTCTAAACTCTGCCATACTGCACTCTTAAAAAAAAAAGGAACAAAAATAAGATGCTTAAGCCACTGCTCTCAAAATGACATGCCCATGTCCACCGCAAGCTGTAGTTGCTGCAATGAGTTCCTTGGTCAGCTATGGACCCAATCATCACATGAGGTGTTGTCAGGGAAGGTGACCTCTCGCCTGACCCTGTGATCCTTGCTTGATGCAGATTCCATGATGTCCCACGCAGGGTGGTAAGGGGACACCTGGGAGCATGAAGCACTCAGTGACGAGAAGGGGGACAAAGTCTGCTTTCTGATTGGGGCAAGACAGAAGAACATTCACCTTCCCTAAGGTAAGGGAAGAACACAGTTCTCTAGAAAAATCAAATTTGTCAAGAAGGGAGATGCTGGTGCTGATTTGTACATCGATTCAGGGGTAACTGGGGAGGAGGGAAAGGGAGAGAGGTTGGGTGGGGAGGCTGGCTTGGCCCTTGCAGCCCCCTGGGTGGCTGGAGTGCTTAGAGGTTGCTGAAGAGTTCGTTTTTCTTGCTCCAGTCCATCTGTGGGGCCCGCTTGCTGCCACGCTTCTGGTGGGCCCTCTCTTTGGCCACAGCCAGGGAGATGTTGAAATCCAGGATGGGGTCGGAGGAGGAGGTAGACGACGGCGCTGTAGAGTCCTGTCTCTTGGGGCTGTCTTGGGAATTCAGCTGTAAAGAGGGGGAGACAAAGGCAGGAGTCAGTCCCTGGTGAGGCTCCCTGATCATCAGCCTCGGTGAGGTGGCTCCTTTGGGGCTGTGCCCAGGGAAGCCGGTCACAAGAACAGAATGCGGCTCAGCATGTGACCTCAAAGGCAGGCTGGTGTGCCAGGAACAAGCGGGGCCTGGGAATCGGCTTCCTGTAACCAGTCGCCACCCCCTGCCCGGCCGGCCCGGCCCACCTACCTCCTCACTGCTATCACTGGAGGTGGATCTCGCAAGGGCTGGCCTGGGGCTCTCCGAGGCTGCCTCAGACAGGGCTTCACCACTGTTCTCCTGGCACAAAGAGCAGAGGTGTGGTTGCTGGGGGACGGGGTGAGGAGGTCCTGATGAGGGAGGGAGCTCCCAGGAAGATGGCGGAGACCTCAGTCTGAGAAGTGCAGCTGGAGCCCTGGCCACCCACCCCCAATTCCCACTGCCTGAGCTGCCAGGGCTCCTCACTGGATTTACATTTTTACATTCCTGAAAGGATCAGAGGGAAGCCTGGTTCCACTACCCAGGCAGGAGGGGTGGGAGGGATGCAGATCATCTTGGAGTTAGCTGAATTGCTCCCACTCCTGGGTCTTCCCAGTGTGGCCTTCAGGCACTGACTCGCTTTTTGGGCTAGTGACCAAGGAGGGGCTTCTTTGCTTGGCATGGGGAACATGTGTGGTGCTCCTTGAACCTCCTGTGGCCCACCAGACTGTTTTCCTGGACTTGACCCTGGGAATCTTGAACCTTAATGCCAAAGCAGTCAAGCAGGGCCTGGAAGGAATAAGGTGAATGGGGAGTTCTAGACCCACAGATGGGGTGACAGAAGGTTCAGGTCCGGGTCCAGGGACCCTCTCTGCTGCTGGGGCTCCCTGGGGAAGGGAAACCTTAAGCAGACCCTACAGAGAAGCCCCCATTCCGTGGCCTGACTGATTTGGTCTGGCCCAGCATGGACGCTTTGGCTGGGGCGCCGGTTTGGCGCTTAGCCCCTTCCTGGGCTCCTCCATGGCTTCAGTTGGCGCCCAGCCCCGCCACCTCTTCCCCAGCCTCACTCCCTTTGCTGTTGCCCTGGGAGGAGGAGAGGAGGGGCTTTGTTCTTCCAACCCAGACTGGAAGTAGCAGGGGCCTGGCAGCGCACGGCCAGACACTGAAGCTCTGTTCTTGGGGGGAAGAATGGCCTCTTCTGTACGGTGGGGAGTTGGAGGCGGGGGCTTGTCACCCAAGATGGCAGGCCGCAGAGGGGCCCAGCCAGGCCTCTCCCTCCTCACAGCCCTGGCCCTAGGCAGGGGCTGAGGGGTACACTGGCAGTTCTATAGCTTGGAGCTCAAGAAGGAGCTGGAACTGGAGCCCCTGAGATTTCAGCCTGAGCTAGATGGCTGTCCTCCCAGTCATGCCACCCTCTGACCCATCTCCTGCACTGCCAGGGTTGACAGCCAGAGGAGCTGGGGGTCTGCCCTTACCTTCTGTATCTCCCCATTGGTGAAGGGCTCAGGCAAGGGACCTAGGTGAAGGACAAGCAGAGGTGAGTCCAGAGGCTTTGGGGAGAAGATGGAGAGGAGCAGAGAGCTGTTGGGTTTGGACCAATAGTTAGATCTCATTCCCTAGGTCAGTGTTTAAAACTTTTCTGACTGCAACCCAGTCTAAGTACATTTGCCATTTCCATGACCGAGCTCACACAAACATTGTGTGTATAGCAAAAGTTTTGCAAAACAATACCTGGACTCTTACTACAGTGCAGTGCTCTTTGATGTTTTCTATTTAATTTCAATTAAAAAAAATGTGCTGGTCTTTACTTACTAAATTTATCTCATGAACCACTAAGGGGTCATAAGCTGTTTGAAAAACGCGTTGTCCTGGATGAGGTTGAAATTCCAGGCTGGCTGCCTAATTCCTACCTGGAATCTCCTACTTAGGAAGCTTGTGAAAAATACACATCCCTGGGCTTGTCTGGTGGTAATGGGTTATCAGAATTTATTAACATCAGTGTCACTAAAGTTCGTATACAACCCCCCACTGCTAAATTTGACTGGCTTTAAAAAAGTAGATTCCTAGGCTTTGGCACTAGAGATTCTGATTCAGTGGGTCTGGGGTAGGCCTAGGAATCAACATTTTTCCAATGTTTCACAGGTGATTGTGATATGACGCCAGAACTGGAGCCATACCCAGATTATGGTTAGTACCTGCCTCAGCTGAAAAAGAAAATAATCCCAACTCCTCCTACCTGTCAATCTGAAAGTGAGGGGGACAAGAAGGCTTGAGGATGTCATGGATGTCCCCGCCCCCAACCAGTTGGTGACAGGAGAGGTCACCCTCACTGAGCTCCCTCAGGGTACAGGACCCACAGGGCTTCATGGGAAGGCTGTTCACCTGTGGGGACTGGTCAACCTGGGTGAGTTTCTTCTGAACTCAGCTTAAAATTCACGTTTCTTTTATCTTGTTCTTGGTCCAGGGCATAGACGGCCATACCTAACTCTCTCCTTTCCCTCCCTTTTGACACCCACCATCTTCCTACAGCCAGGCAGGGGACTGCTGGGACATAGGGACACTCACTTCCCCTCTCCTCCCAAGCCAGCCCCTTCCCCATTAGCTCCAAGCTGTTTCAGTGTGGTTGAGGTAAAGCCCTGTCAGCCACTGAGAGGGGGACAGAGGTGGGGAGAGGGTGCTATCCTGGAGACCCAGGAGGGGCCTGGGAGAAGACTGCCCCCAGGCCTCTCCCACTGCACGTCCTCTGGCCAGAGGCGCAATCCCCACGTACTCAGGGCTCTGCCCCCCAGCCAGAGGCACAAGAGTAGGAATGTGAGAGGGCTGATTATTGGGTGGAGGGGTGGGGGAGGATGCTGGAGGAGGCAGGGGGAGGTATCTGAGGAGCTGAGTAGAATCCAGATTTCATCTGTGTCCTCCCCTGCTAGGTCCCCAACAGCAAGGCTGGGGCTTCTCTGGGCCTCAGTCTTCCCCACACTGAGGAAGGGGACTTTCTGAGTTATCTAGTTTCCATGAACTTGAGAGACAAGGGTGAGATGGTACCCCACCTCCCATGCTGAGTCTCTTGGAGACTTCTAGGAGCCATCCCCTCTTCTAGGAGCTCCCAGGACTCTGGATTGGGCCAGACAGGGATAGGGCCTTCTTGACAGGCCCCTCCAGCTGGGGATCTGAGTCATGTGGACCCCCTCCTACAAATATGACCCTGACACCTCGGGGAGGCCCCACCCACTGCAAAGTCCAAGGAGGTTACACCCTCAGCATGACCCACTGAGCACCCCCAGGTGTCATCCTCCCAGGGAGAAAGTCCAGGCCAAGAAGCAGAGCGCTGCTTAACCCCTCCCTGCCCTGAGGTAGCAGCCATACCCCATTTGGCTTGGGCAGGGGGAGGTGCCAGGCTTGGCAGGGTGAAGGTGGGGGGTGGGGAGAGCAGGGGCCCAGGGACTGAAGGGGGACCCACTGCTCTCTAGAGCCAGCAAGCCCGAGTTTCCAAGACAACCTAAGAGAAGGGAGGGAGGAGGAACTGGGCCCCTGTCATTGGACTCTGATCTGACCATGCAAAGGCTGGAGGTTTCCCCAGAGTTAACCCTTTCCTTGCCATCGGCACTGACCTAAGAACTTGCTGATGGTGGAGGGGTTGGGGGCTCAGGCCTCCGTTGGGTGCTGTAGCTTCTGCCTGGAACCAGCAGCTCTGTCCCACCTCTCTCACCATCCCTCATACCAGGTTACCCCTGTCACATGCCATCCCCAGAAACCCACTGCCAATCCTTGCTTCCTCTCCCCTCACCCACACCTCTGGGCCTCCCCTGAAGAGGGAGGGAGTGTCCCAGCCAGGAAACTGCCCCCCTCCCCCATCATCTGTGATACAGCAACATCCTGAGCACTGGCCAACATCCTTGACCTGGGTACCTCCAGCCCCAGGGCAATCAGCTGTCCACCCAGCTCACCATTCAGGTGCTCATGAGACGGGATCACTTTACACTTCTTGAAGAACTCGTCGGTTTCCTTGTCTACCACCAGCAGTTTGGTCTCATCCCCACCAGCCCTGATGGCGGACACCACGTCCCCATGCTGCTTGCCCTCCATGCAGACTCCGTTCACCTGTGGGGTGGGGTGCACAGGTCTCAGTTCTGGGAAGGGCAGGCAGAGGAGGGAGGTCCAAGTCTGTTCTTGGCCAGCTGGAAATCTGGGGATATTGAGCCCTCCTTGTCTGTAGAGTCCTGAACTAGGCCAGGGGTCCTCCCACCCACTTGAAAGTCAGCTGGAGAGGCAGGACACGTGGGAAAAGCCAAAGAAAATATCCAGAGGAGACTAAACAAACACAGCTGTGAGACGGATGGGAGAGATCTGGGAGGGCTGGGTTGGGCCCGGGCCCTTCTATGTACTTGCCATCCGACTTCCCTCTCTGGGCCTTGGTTTTTTCATGTGTAAAATGAGAAGTCTTGGGAGAGCTGATCTCCAGCTCTAAGGTTCTAGGACTCTGTGATTCTGGGACCTGCCCAAGTATTTGGTTTACATTTCCTCACGAGAGCACAGAATGAAGGTCTAAAAGCCTAACTCAGGAGAAGGGGTTTATCACCCCTCTACCCCCACATGGAGTCCTCAGGCAGCAGCAAAGCTCGGGTGGCCCCAGGCATCCACCCAGATGGAGGGTGAATCACAGGCTGCTGAATGTGTCTGCTCAGTGAAGGAGAGACTGGGGTAGGAAAGGGGTCAGTCGGTCTGTCCATCTGTCCACCTGCCACTCCCCCCTCCTCCCCCCTCCCTCCTAGCCATCCGGCATCTCTGGGTTAGAAAGTGTAACAGCTGCCTGAGAAGCTGCTGATTTGCAGGGAGTGAGCTGGGAAGGAAAAGCATGGAAAGAGTTTGGGGAAGGCGGCAAGCAGCATCACCTCCACAATGCGGTCCTGGGCCTGGAGCCCCGAAGCTTCAGCCGGCGAGTCTGGGTCCACTGCCCGGATGAACTGGCCTGGCTTGGACTTGTCACTGTGCAGGTTGAAGCCATAGCCATTGGCGCCCTTCTTCATGGCACAGAGTCGAGGCCGAAGCTCACGCTGTGGGGATAAAGGAAGGTCCACGACCATTCCACAAGGTCCCAGGTCTGGCCTCCCCTGCCCTCTGCCTGACCCTGCCTCCCCCACCAGGGAAGGTTTGGAATAATGCAAATTTGCTTAGCTCCTACACAGCAATGCATGAGAATTCTGGCCCAGAACTCAGAAGACCTGTGTGGACACCCAGCATTGCAGCAAACTGCCTAGGTGACCCTGGGTAGGACAATGCCCCTGTCTGAGCCTTGGCTTCCTATTCTAGAAAGTGAGGGGTAGGATGAGGTTAGCTCTTAAGTCCCGTCCTCTTGATGTTCTAAGGTTAACCATATGTTAATTCGATTGATACTTTATCCCTCCCCATCAATAGCTTGGTCTGGCCCTCCTGGAGGGCGTGTGACACCCGTCAGCCTGGCTGGGTTACCTGGGCCATGTGACTGGGGACCCCAGACCCTTTGTTATCTGCAGCAGGGGAGGCAGGGGCTGATGTTTACTGAAAGCTGGTCAGTGTGTTTACAGTAAAGACTTTCTTCACCCACCTGGGCTCCCCACCAAGCCAAATAGCCTAGCCAAAAGAGAGCTGGAAGGAGCCAGATAACTAGAAATCTGGTGGGTGGCACAGCAAGGGGTCCTGGACAGGACAGGGCCATCCTTAGGAGCTCCAGATCCAGCCAAGGGTAAAGGTGGCAACAGAACCCCAGAGAATCTGTTGATCCCCAAGGAGCCTGAATGGGGAGGGGGCTGTGAACAGCAGGGCTGGGCACACGGTGGATGTGGCCAGAAGAGTGTGGCCCATTAAAGTGGCACATGCAGATTTCTTTTGAGCACTCAACCCTCAGCTGAAAACGGTTTTCAACATCCTTGGTCCAACTCAAACAGCTCCAGTTAGAAGCTGCAGCCCTAAGACACACAGCATGATGGAGGGAATACAAGGGTCCATCTCCCTCTCCCCGCAGGGCTGGAGCAGGGCCCTGGCTGCTGTCCAGCTTGCCAGTCCTGGGTTATCACCGAGCACATCAGGTAATGAGCAGTGGACAGTCAAGGCCCGAGCCGGGTTCCAGCTGCCCGGCTTACTAGCTGTGTGACCTGAGGCAAGTCATTTCCTTCTCAGAGCCTCAGGTTCCTTATTTACATCCATTCTTACTGGCCACCTGCCTCCTAGCGTTTGTGTGAGGCCTGTGAGATAATTAACACAAGTGGAGATACTTCATAACTATAAAATCCCTGCATGTACCTAGACTCCACTATTACCACTAATACTAATAAGCAATTATATTGAGCTGAGAAGTGAGATTCTTGCGGGGAGGGTGGGGTGCCAGGTTGCTCTGTAACCCAGATCCCCAACTGGGAGTGGAGAAGGTGAGGGAGGGGTGGGAAGGAGTGAAGAAGAGGGCTTAAGGGCCTCTTGCCCCAACTTGCCAGCGGGAGGCAGCTGCCATCTACGGAGACTCAGTCCCCACCCTTTGCTCCGTCGGGGGTGGTTGGAGGGTGACTTTCCCTTCCTTGAAATGCTTGGGCAGGTCTTTCTTGCCTATGTTTCAAGATGTTGGTGGAGGGTGTGGGGAGGCCAAGATGGCAAGGAGGGGTCACAGTTGGGCCTTGCCCTAGCTGCCACCTACCCAAATCTGGGCTAGAGGCCCCTTGGCTATTCTCTCCTTCTCCTTCACCAGGGTCAAGGGTAGGGGCTCCTCACCCCCAACAACAACAAAGATAATTAAGTGAGCAGTAAAAAAGTGGGAGGCACACAGAGGGACCCTCTCCCTGGGGCTGCTTGGGAAGCCAGAAGCCAGGGCAAGCGAAGCATCCTCTTCTCCTAGGTTCTCGTCACGCCATCCCATTCATCACTGCAGGGCCTGTTCCTAACTCACCCCGCCGGTATCTGCCCACCACCCACCCTCCCACAGCCCTGCTGCCCCGGCAGCCCTCCAGGATCCAGTTCCGGGAGTGAGGCTCGGGAGTGAGGCTCTTCTCGCCAGGAGCTAATCCCTCCACAAAACTCCCCACCGAGCCCTCCCCCAGGGCCACATACGTGAGTGAGCAGGAACAGGTCTGACCAGTTGCCACCACCAGGACAGGCTCAGCTTTCTGCCTCAGCTAGACTGAGCTCCACAACCTGGCCCTGCACCCTGAAAAGGTGGGGAGGGCAGACAGGGGGCAGCTCTAACGCTCTGCACCTCTCCACCGCCCTGCATGGTCCTTTCACTCCAAAGAACCTTCCCATAGCAACCTGGCTGGGGCTCATCAGCTCTACTTTTGAGATGGGGAAACTGAGGCTCAGAGATGTTAGGCTCACTGCCTGAAATCACACAGCCAGAACTCTAACCCAGGTCTCTGACTTGGAACCCTTGCTCCTTCCACCACACTGTGAGCTGGTCCTTAAGGATCAAGTCCAGCCAGAGGCCCGAGCAGGAGTCTGGCAGTGAAGGGCGGGCATGCGGCTCATCTCCTGGGAGGCAGCCGGGTGCTGATGAAACCACAGCCTTCCTTCCGGCTCCTTAGGGCCTCCTGCAGCCAGAGCAGAGGGATACAGTTTGGTGTGGCTGTGCTGGCTGTCCTCCAGATGCCCACTTCTGGCCCAGGTCTCTGTGCTGTGGGCTTCCCTTATGAATCCTCAGCAAGTTTCACCCCAGTACCTCTCGCCTAGTGACTATGTCATCAAAGGTCAGGGAGCCTTGCTTGCCTCTGCCAAAACCAAGCCCTGAGGATCATGAGGAAATGGGGGACCCAGCCTGAGGGGTTCAGGCTCCCTTCCCCCTGCACCGGGACCACTCTATTACTCTCTGGTTGACTTTTTTTGGCTTCAGGACCCTGGCTGGACTGGAGGACGGGAAGCTCCTCCCCACAGCATTCGGATGTCTACAGAGCTCTATCTATCTGGCTAGCTCCTTCTTTCACATGGGGAGGGGAGGGAGCTTCCACTCTTGCAGGGAGACTCTTGCTTCTCTTCACCCTTCCCCCAGTAGGAGCCACTCAGCTGTCTCCAGGAGGTGTCACTGCCAGCTGCTGAGTCAGCACATCAAGCAGGCCCATCCCAGCCAGGTAGAGGCTTGTGCCAGCAGGAGGATTCTCCTGGTGGTAGCCCCTGTGGGGATCTGTGGGGCCTGGCCTGTGGTCACCAGGCCAAGCACTGAGAATAGCTGGGGAAGGGTGAGGCACATGGCTGGAGCTCAGCCACCATTGCTGCTGGGCCCTCAAACCCACTCCAGCTGCAGCAGGGCTTGGGTTCTGCCTCTGGGGAAAGGGGGTAAATGGGGGCGAAGTCCAGAACATCTTGGGCTGGGTGTATGGCCTTCAGGAACTCAGGAGGGGCTTCATGCCATGATGCCAGCTCCAGAGGGGTCCAGAGTAGAGGTGGGGTTCAAGGGGAACATGGCCCTAAAGTTTGTTCGGCACCTCCCAATAAATTCTGAAGGACAAGGTGGGACTCCCAGTGACAACAGCCTGTAACTAAAAATCAGGATCTGCTCAGAGAGGAGACTGGCAGAGACCATATGCGAGAGGAGGGAACATGAGGCAGTGGCAGCTGATGGGCAGTGCAGCTGCGCTGGGGAGGCTCGGGGCTGGATGGGCCTGACACTCAACTTTCAGACAACAATGACGGCTTTCCAGAAAAGACTCTGCCAGGAGAGCTGTCTCCAGACCCCTCTCCCACCCTCAGGTTCCCAGGCCGCTCTTCATGGTCCTCTCCCCCAAGGAGCCCAGCCCCACCCCAAGTGGCCACCCCATCACTTCCACCCACACATAGCCCAGGGAGCGGATGGCGGGCACGGAATTCAATAGGCACCACCAGCAGCCACCTGGAAAGCTGGAGAAAGTTGATACCCTAATCCTGGTGACTGTCTCTGGGGAGCAGGCCCAGGGCCGCTCCCTGTTCCTCCTTGGGGGAGGGCTGCTGGGGGCCAACGCCCCATTGAGCCCAGCCCCTCTCTGGCTGATGCCATGGTGATGGGCCCTATAGGAATAGCCATGCTGCTTCCCCAGCTTCCTGCAGGCCAGCCAGTTCTGTGCCCCAAAGGAGATGGGCTAAAGGAGCAGGAAGACCACCAGGGTGGCTGGGAGAAAAACAGAGGTGGTTCCCACCTCCCAAGACTGTCCTTCCTCCACCAGCCCAGCTCAGCCCCAGCCCAGGGCTCTTGTTTATGCAAATAAGAACAATGTTCTGCTGCCCAATACGGGGCAGTCATCCCTCACAACAGGATGGAAGGGATGGGGGGCATGGAGAAGGAACTCTGACAGTTCTGGTGGGGCTGGGGTAGGGACTATGTTGGCCATGGCTGCTCTTTGAGGTAACTCGGTTTGTTCCATGGATTCTGGGGATACAGGCTTGCACCTGGTGCTGGCTCTTCAAAGAAGCCAGGATAGAGAGAGCTGGCCTTGCCTGGGTGTGCTGTGTGATGGGGCAGCATGAGGGCACTGTCCTTTGGGCAGGCTGGGAAATGACCAGGCTCCGAGTACTGGGCCAAGGATCCTATCTCACCCTAGGCTTGGCTGCCACTGACCCCGTGTACCCCATGGCCCCGATGTCATCTCATTTTACCCTACAGGATCCCCTCCTCCTGCATCCCCCAGGTCTGTGCAAGCTGAGGAATGTTGGACACCTCCATTGCAAAAAAGGATGCTACTCCTAGCCTTTGATCTTGTACTACCTATTTCTCAGCAGGAAGTTCCTTTCCGGGAGCCCAGCAGGGTGGGAACCAGGAGGGAGACATAAACTAAAGTGGGGGCTTCTCCTCTGACACCCCTAGGACTGGGAGGCCCTGGGCCAGGTTCTCCCTTTGGCTAGTAGTCTCTCCTCCCAGTGCCAGCCAGAGAGACCCAGAGGGGGGCAGAGTTTGGCTCAGGTCCCCCAGGGTTGGGCAAGCCTGGGACGGAGCAGGCTGGTACCTGGGCTGCTGCCTGGCTGGCCTCCATCCAGGGTCGGCACTCCACCAGCATTCCTCCTCATCCCTCACCCTCCTCCCGGAAGTCTCTGGATTTAACTCTATGGGCTGTCCCAAGAGGCTATGTAA